ATTGCACAACTGTTGCACAGCCTTTCCATTGCACACTCCCTCCCTGTTCCACATCTCCCTATTGCACAGGTCTCTCCTGTTCACTCTTCCCCATCACACAGCTCCCTCCCCCTTTCCTCCCCACTGCACAGCTCCTCGTGTCATGTCTCCCCATTGCACAACTCCCTCTCCATTTCAAGTGTCCCCATTTCATAGTCCCACAGTGCACAGCTCCCTTCCCACTGCACGACTCAGCATTGCACAGCTCCCTCCCTGTTGCATGGCCCCCTCCCCATTGCACATTTCCCCATCATGCATCTCCCTCCCCATTTCCTCCCCATCACAGGGCTCCCTCTCCGTTGCACAGCTCTTGCACGACTCCCCATTGAACACTCCCTTCCCATTTCACACCTCTCCCTCACATGGCTCCCTCCCCATTTCACATCTTCCCATTTCACAATTCCCCATTGCACACTCCCTTCCTGTTCCCCATTTCAAGCCTCCCCATTGCACAGTTCCCTCCCCACTGCACACTCCCTTCCCGTTTTACACTCCCTTCCCATTTTACGCCCCCTCCCTATTTCCTGGCCCCCTGTCACACACCTGCCTCGTGCAGAGCTGCTGCAGGAGGGTCTGAACATCCCTGGCAGCTCTGGGCTGGCCCCCAGTGCCAGCAGGTGCCACCTCCCTGCAGAGGGTTCAGGATAGCTGTGCCCACCTGCTGCCCTGCACCTGTGCCCACCCTGGCCCTGCCACTGCCCAGCCCGGCCCTATCACCACCACCCCGGCCCTGCCAGTGCCACTGTCATTCTCCACTTTGCACTTGCCATCTGTCACTGGCCTTCCCCGGGGCCCCGCAGGCCACAGGGATTAACACCCCCCTCGCTGGGGGATGTGTGCCCACAGGGGGGTCTCTGACGCCAGCAGGGTGTCACCACCCCCATGGTGGTTCCAGGGCTGGCAGGGACAGGGTGCACGGGGTGGGTACAGGTTCGGGACATCCTGTGTCAGGCAGGATGCTCCTCTGTGCTTCTTCAGCGTGTTCAGAGACATCCCGACCGGGGGGGGGGGGGGGGGGGGGGGGGGGGGGGTGGGGGCCCCCCCCCCCCCCCCCCCGGAGCGCGGGCGCGCGCGGCCGGGCCCCCCCGGGCCCCCCCCCCCCCCCCCCCTCGCCGTTTTTTTTTTTTTTTTTTTTTTTTTTTTTTTTTTTTTTTTTT